TGCGTCAGTCTAGGCCATTCCAAGATTCTTGCTACTGGTGATCTCATGGTATACACTACTCCTGTGTCACTCATAAGCTCCCTTCCGGAAGTATGATCAGGTATAATCAAAACTGCAAAAGTGACAAAATCTCAGAGGGCCTAGGTGTTTGGCATCCCCAAAAGCAAGTTGGGGAAAGAAATGAGATCTGTTTAACATGTGAAGCACAGGATTATCAAAAGAAAAGGAGGGAAACCTTTTACCTGTGGCATGAAAAGAAGTTAAAGCAAGCCACTGGAAAAAAAAACCCCAAATCACCCTACAATCACCATCTGCCCTAAATGAAACTATTACCACTTTTTTTTTTTTTTACAAAGATCTGCAGCTGTGGCTCGCCCTGGAAAGTGCTCTAAATCAAAGTGTACACCCATCCTGGGCGGGCTGGCATCCTCCAGGCCTCCCATTGACATCTGGAGCCCTCTTCCAAAAGCTCTTCTAGCCTCAAAAGAAATGGCTGAGAAGTCATCCTTCCCAGAGGCCTACTTCTGCTTGCCCCCTAGCGCCCCCCTTCCAATCCCAGCTCAGATGGAGTTGGGCTTCCAAGCTCATCCCAATGGAATTCTCAGATCGCTGGCCTGATAATCTTTAAAGGCTCCTTCGGAGCTGGGGCTCTGACTTTTATCTCCCCTCCCACCCTTCTTCCCTTTTTGTTGGCTCTCCCCACTCCTTTTCCCTCTTACCCCACACCCCCCTCCTTAATTTGGAGATCATTGACACGATAGGCTGTAATGAGTCCTTCAGAAACTGTTATGATCTACAGTGACAATCTCTGCACCTAATTCACAGATTATTGACAAGCACTGTGGGCTCAATGGTGTCAAGTTGTACTTGTGGTTTCAACACCCTTCAGTAACCCACGTAGCTGCTGGGCCCTGGATTAGGACTCACAGTCTGGCAGGGTTTGTCTGCCTGGCTGAGTGGTGGAGAGATGACTATCTGTCTCTACCTCAGCTCCTCAAGTCAAGACAGGGCTTTCTCTCTGTCGCCTTTGTCTCGGGGTTGGATCAAGGAATCTAAAGGTTCTTGATTTTAAAAACAAAGCAAAAGAGTAAATTTAATACACGAGTGCTCGTTCTTGAATCTTGGTCTTAATAATGTCAATTTTCTCCACTTCCCTATAGTCTTACCAAGCTCCAAAACACATCTGCTGGTTTTCAGAATGCGGGTTTTTTTTTTCTTTCTCCCTGGGTTCATCAGGAAAGGTGTGAAGGATCAAAGTAAGAACGGGCTGAGGAGTTGGCTCGGGCTCAGTGGGTTTAAGCTAGGGTGGCCTATTCTTCTGTATCGCCCACAGAATCAGGCAAGCCTGGCTACTTACAGAGCAGGGCGCCCAGCCAACCCCGCTGGGGCTCAGGCCTGGACGCTGGGACATGAGACCCAAGGCGACCGCCCCGCCCCTAAAGGGCGCTTTGCCGCTGCGGAAAAACACCGCCGGTTGCCAGCCGCTGCTGCTAAGGAGTCAGTCCCGCGCTGCCCGCCTCTCCAGCCCCCAAAGGTGGAAGGGCTGCCTTCCTGCTGGCCGCCTTGGGGTGTGGGATTCCGGCAGGGGCAGAGTTACCTGGGACCACAGAAATAACACTCCTGCACCAGGAGTGTTAGGTGACTTGCTCAGGCCTGGGCCACCCACTTGTTTAGCTCTTTTTGCTCAACTAGGGGCTAAGCTTTCTCCTTGGACGCTTGGAAAGTTGGGGACTTGCATGCAGCCTGCACACACCCGTCCGCAGCCAGGTGCGGCTCCTCCCTCCTGTCGTTGCCCAAGTGTTCACCGCACAAATGGGAGAGCTGAACGGGGTCGCAATCCCCGGGGCTTTGCTACTGCAGATTCTAAGTCACTTCCAAATAGCAGGCATATACCTTTTTTTTCTGAGGTCGCCACCACGATTTTACAGGCTTTGGCCTCCCTATCATGCTGCGTTGCGGGAGCCACCGTGTAGCCTTCGAACCTCCGCTGTCAGTGCACGGTTTCTTAACCTACGCCGTTGCGGTTGGCGCGGGTTCACAAAGCTAATCCTGACTTCATATTTCCGTAATGGGGGCTTTTCGCAGAGCACAGGGTTGGGGGTGCTATGGCAGGGAATCCTGCTTGCCTGTCATTTCGATCGAATTCCGGATGGAGATTTATCAAAAGCTTGATTCTTTTCTTACCATTGCCTCTGAACCTATTTAGTGAAAAACCTAAGCCGAGATCCGATTCTGGAATCAGAGGGAGTAAGTACCTCATCGCACCGAACAGCAATTCCCCTTGAAACACCATCTCGCATCCGCTAATTTGGGGAGGTGAGAGGAATAAACATAAGGGCAACATAAAGCTTGCGCAGCCACAGTATTAACCGTGTTTTAAAACCCATTCTGTCATGAAAATTAAGCTAGTTTCCGCCACTAGGCAAACTTAAGAGAGAAAAGCAAGCCCTAAAGTTCTTAAGGTTGAAAGCTAAAATGTTAAGTGCATCACTGAAGACGGAGATCATTAAGCACAAAAACTGTTATAATTTTAAGCAACTAAACAAACACAGATTTCCTCATTGTTTCAAATTCAGAGAATGTGCCATTTTTATAGTTTATCTTTCTGAAATAATTCAAAGGCTACTTTTGCCCTCCCTTGCTAGCCAAAGAAAGTTAGAGCTCTTTCTTATGTAGACAGATAGGTTTTGGAAGTGCAAAAATACTCCTTTCTCTAGGATAATTTGGATTCCTGGTCAATTACATGCTGAATTTCAAAGAAAATACACTTTACCACTGACACACCTTCCCTGAAATCCCATGGCTAAGATAAAAGACAAAGATGCCAGGCACCTGTCTCAGACACAGTATCTAGAATCAAACTGCTTGCCAGGAAAGGAAAAGTTTGGCCAAGATTGATTTGGGGGATGGGAAACACTCAAAGAAGAAGCTGGACTTTTAATTACACTCGGGAAATAAATAAGTAGGAATAAGTTATTTCGTTTACTTGGAGACTCTGTTAACAGTACTTTTAGAGCCTGTGAGGGCTGCTGACAACGTCAAAACAGCAAGCAGCTTATCTCCCGTTTAATTGTTTGAAATGCGGACAAAACGGGAGAAGGAGCCTTTGCTTTACTCTTCATAGCTACAGAAAAAAAATTCTTTGTTTTTCATCCTGTTTCTCTAACTCTCTTACTATGGAATAGTCTTTAAAAGGAGTCCCCAAACCAAACCCGGGTGGGAGATGGCTGGGATGTAAGGAGGAGGAAAGTTAATCTTTGTATTTTTTTATTGAATTAAGATTGTATCATCTCCTCGTTAGTTTTTATTGAATTAAAATATTATCACTTAAGAGTATAAAAACTTGTTTCTGCATTCCATTTCCTTTTTGGAGGGTAATAAAGAGTTTTCTCTAACCCCAGAGCAAGGTTCTAGCGATTTCCAGGACTGGCGCTGCGCAGCTCCTACTGTGTCCAACAGGGGGCGCTGGGCACGAACCTGCGCGGCGGCTCAGCGCCGCTTCACATCTGAGCCGGGTTCCAGCCCCGGAAGGCGAGAGCCGCTCGCGGGGTCGAGTACAGAGCTTTAGTCTTCGTGGATAAAAAGAGATTAAAGGCTAAATTCTTTTTTTTTTCTTTTTCTTTGTGTGTGTGTGTGTGTGTGTGTGTATACACACACGCGTACGCGCGCACGCGCGCGTGCACAGGGGGTTATCAATTTTAACCAACTACGAAAATGTAGAGCTTTTTATCCTTTGATGTTCTCATAAAGAAACTCCTATCGGTTGAGAAATTACAAGGTTTTTGAGCCAATACTGCAGCTACAGTGTGGGGGAAATTATTTAATTAAAAATATATTTTTCCATCTGTTCACATGATCTTTTTAGAAGTACTTAAAAGCTGACACTGATCCATTTGGCCTGCTAACCTTGCCCCAAGTTTCAAATACTTTCAGCTCTATCGAATCCCCTACTATTAATATGAAGGGGGGGGGGAAGACCCTAATATTTAAATCCCCCTAAATAGTTCCTCCTCTGCATCATTTTCCTCTACTTTCTTTAGAGGGCTTTTATGTGATTGACTCATTTCATACTGTCGATTCTGCAAAGCCAGGTATAAATGACAAGAAGCAGCTCTAAATAATAACAACATTAAAATCTGATGTTGGACTACATAACACCCAAGTTAGTATATGAAAAAATCTAAATAAAATTGTAATCCACCCGCCCCCACCCCAACTTAAAAAAAAAAAAAACCTTCACCTGTATTTAAATAGCGTGTCTTTAATTACAGCAGTTGGGGATGCATGAGGCTGAAATGAAATTAGCAGTCATTACCAGTCCTTTAACTCTGTGGTGCTTTTGATCAGCACTAAATTAGCTTTCCAGTCCTAACAAAGACTCTACAGCAAGCAGTGGGCTGTAAATAAGACAGCGCGACCTGCCCTCAACACCTTTTCTCTTGTCAATCATAGCTCTATCATTCAGCCCAAGATTAACCTTTATCTACCAAAAATTAAAAAAAAAAAAAGAAAAGGAAAAAAAAGAATAAAAAAATGAAGAGAAAGAAAAAAGAAAAAGGAGGCAGGAAGGAAAGCCCCCTGACCACCACATGTCGCAGTAACAGAGGTTCCTAAGAGCCCCCTTTAAATTGTATTATAATGAGCCAGTGTCAGAATCTGCAATTTCCAAATCATCCCTTCCCACTCCACCTCCTTACACCTCTCGAGTATATTAGAAGAGTCAGAATGCTGTTCAGGTAGGAAATTAATATCTTTCCCCGAATTACTAATTGGGCGTGGGCCACCCTCCATAAATCAATTTGCCTTTAGTCTCTCCTCTTCTATTAGTCTAACAAGATTTCGGGAGAGGAGGGGATGATCGAGGATAAAACATGGATGACTTTAAGGCATACGTAAGTTTCTGGGCTGAAAACAATCAATTTCTTTTACTAGTAATCTCTAGTTTTTAAGTCTTCTGAGAAAAAAAACAAAAAAACAAAACCCAGTATTGACAACAAAAACCCAGCTGCTTTTCCCAGTACTGTATTACAAAAGTAAAACATTGTTCTAGTTGCCATTAGAGGGCACCAGAGAGCAAGCCCCATCACCCCTCGCACAACTTCCAGCAGAAAGCCCTCCCAGCTTCCAGCTTCGCCATGCTCTGTAATTCCTTCTCTCAGGTAATATTTCCTGCTTATCCTGCCCCCTTGCGTTTCTATCTCCCTCTGTGTCAGTCTCTCAAAGAACGAGGTCTCGCCTTGTCCCCATCCTCTCTTTTTGCAAGCTCCCTCCCATCCTCAATCACCACCAAAACAGTAAGACGCTGGTTGAAGTAGTAGCAACCTTTTAATGATATGTACCTTTTGAATCAAATCACTCTTTCCATTCTAAGTAACACTGGTCTGGAGAAGGTTCTTTGTAGGAATGAAATGCCAGAGTTTAACATTTTAAAGATGGAAGCCTGAATTTTTCACTACTGGGGTTATTTTTGGAGGCTCACGAATCTATTTCTTCATTTTCATAGAAAAAGAAACACACACACCCTTGCAAGGAACTTATTATGTTGAGTACTAAAACTGTTCAGAAGAGAATAAATAATGTCATTTCAATTCTGCATTTGTTAAGGAAATCTCAATTAGCATTTAATTCCAAAAGTTAACGCTTTCGGACTTAAAATCTGCCTGTGTTAAATGACTGCCACATAGGGTGTATTTCCAGATCTAGTAAAGGTCAAAAGGGGGAAAAAAAAAAACCAGAATGAGAGAGGAAGAAAGTGTGTGTGTGTGTATGTGTGTGTGTGTGGGGGGGAGGAGTGAGCTAGCAGTGAATGTCAAAGTTGGGTTGCAAGCTACTTACATGTCCATGCCAGATCAGGGTGTTGTCTTGTAGCAGTTTGATTGGCAGGTAAAAAAGCAAAGAACGTGAGGGCTCCCTGAGCCTCTTGTCAGCCCAAGCTTGATCACTTCTCACCGGACAGAACGAGTTGAAGGAGCTTGCAGTTCCCCTCTCATCCTCCATCCAAGGCACCGTGAATCCATTTCGGCTTTTCTTCCCCCCAGTCTCTCCATCAGCCTCCTGCCTTCCCGCATCGCCTTACACCAGCCTCCAAGACCTAGCCTAGCTTTGCCACTGCAATCCCCTGCAACAAGAAAAATCGTTTATGGCTTAAAACCCCAAATGGCTGATTTTTTAAAAGAGAGAGAGAGGGAGAGGGAGAGAGAGAGAGAGAGGAGAGAGGGTGAGGGGGAGAGAGGGGGAGCGAGAAGAATGCACCCAGAGAACAACAAAAAAGTCAGTTATCCTAACACTGCTCTGTCCCCCCACCGAACAGAAGAAGAATAAAAAAAAAAGCTTTATGTTTTTTCAGTGGGTATTCAAAGATAATTTGATGCCATTGTTTCTGCTACAGATGGTTCTTTTAAATACAATAACACGGCTCTTTGTGCAGGCTACCCACAATAAAAATCGAAAGCGTTCCCCTGAATAACCATTTTGTTCTCTCTTGTATGGGGCCAACAAAAGATGCCGTGAGGTAATGGGTTCTGTTTATTGAAGCCATAGAATAGGGGTTTGATAAAGATTTTTTTTTTTAAAGCAGAAGACCTTGCAAGGTCGGGCTGATCTCTTCATATTTTTTATTAAAATATTTGCCCAATAGATTATTCCTTGGTGTAGCTGCAGGTCTCCTCCTCAATTCTTAATCAGCCCAAACATCTGTCTCTTGGAGGAGGCTTTAAAAATCAGCAATTGTATCAGTGGTGCAGTAACCTTATCAAATCCTTAGTTTTGAGGCTCAGTACAGGCAAAGGCAATGGAGTTTCTATTCTATTTGGTCCTGATGGGGTGAGACAGAGGGTTGAGGGAAAGGAGACAGGCAACCCCAGCTAGAGCAACTGAAGAAGAGGGGGCTTTTTTTTCCCTCCTCTGCTCCCTGGTTGGCCATGCACACAACTTGAAGAGCCAGACACACAGATCAATGAAGACTTCTTTCATCCCGAGGCGTGTCTCCTCATCTCTACAAGCTCCCACCAGTGTGTGCGTGCTGGACAGGGGAAGGATGCCCTTGCCAAGTTCACCCTCCCCTCTGCTGAGGTCTCCAATTCTGGAAAACCTAGGATGGGAACCCAAGAGGAGTGGAGCAAGCTAAAGATCAGTCTCTAGCACCAAAGGGTCCTACTCTTGGCGCTCTTTGATTTGATCCTAGCTAGCTTTGATGCATTGATTGCACCTGTGCAGGGAGTGGGGGTACACTGGTGACTACAGACCCCCTGTTACAGCATCCCTTCCACTCAGGCTTTCTCTTAGAGCCCATCAGCTTCCTCCCTGTCAGTTCCACATAGAGCATCTGCTTCCGCCCACCCCCTCCGGGAAACCCTACCACCTAGACCCAGCTGAGGTCTATATCAACTTTGAGCAAGCCCCCAACACCTAGGCAATGGGGACACTGTAGGAGGAAGTCCTTAGTTTCTGACTAGGCCTGTCTACCTTTCTAAAGGAATTAGTGCCAGGCCTCCAATAGCCCAGAGTGACAGTAATCCACTTTCGTGACTTCTGCTCTCTGTGTTGTTATTTGTGGCTAGATAATGGTCTGGAATAATGCCTTTCATCTTAAAAATAAGTTTTCAGTGGGTTCTCTATCTCTGTCCCCCTACCCCACTGCTCAAATGATCTCTCCCTTTCTTCCCACAAACTGTTCAAAATAAAAGAAAGATAAATGCTCAAATGATTCAATCACTTAACAAAACTGATCTCAACTTTTACTTTCCCTTTTGGAAACAATTATGTTATTGCTTTACAACTGGTCGTCTAATAAGGGATTTGGGGAAACTATGACCTAAATATCAATTAAAGTCTTTTCCATGAAACTTGAAAAACAAAGACAACAAAATATAAAATTAAACATTTTTTCACAATAATCCATTTATATTTCAAGATAAATAGCCTAATATCAGTGTGAAAAGTCAGAGCAATACTAAAAAAAGTTACACACTTCTAAACACTCTGGATCAAGAAAAATGCCCCTGTATAAGTGTGTTGGAGGTGAGAGGGAAGAGTCTAAATCAAGAGTGACCTTTAAGAGATCAGGAGGAGGAGTTCACATTTGTTACTTATCCTTGCCATCCTGAAAGGGGGTGGAGGCATTATGTAAAATTAAGAGTCAATTGTGGAAACATTTTCCCCAACTAAAGATGGAACAGGGCAAAGTGAATGTAAAATGTGTTCTCTATGTTTTCATTTAAAAAGTAACCATCTAACCTACAGAATGATTCTTTCTTGCTTCCCTTGTCAAATTATTTCATGAATATCAAGAATTAGAAAGGATTCCCCAACATGATTAAAAGCTGTTTTTTTTTTTTTTTCCATTTTACAATGTACTGAAAAAACAATCTGAACTACTCTCTCCCTACTGAGGGGTTTGGGGCAGGACCTCCTCGGACTGAAAGACAGGAAGGCCTCAGGGAGTAGCCTAAGGTGACTCAAGGTGAGCAAGGTGATAATCTTATCAATTGAATCTCCTTCATTCCATCCATAAGGCCACGGTCTTCTGAGACAGGACAAGAAGATAGGTTTTTGTTAGTTTGTTTTTTAATGTGTCACACAAGTTGCTATCAAAAGCTGTAATGCAATGACATTCCACCTGACATGGCAGAAGACTTCAGCATTTAACTAAAAAATGTAAAATGTGTCCTGCCAGGTGAAGGGTCAAAGTGACAAACTACTTTGGTAGATAAGAGAATGGAGAACCATTTATTCACAACTGGGAAGCTACCTACCTACCTACACACACACACACACACACACACACACACACACACACTCACTCACACACTTTTTGTATCCAGGGGGGAGAAACTGTATCCAGAGTACACGACTTGGAGCAAACACAGTACCAAAACCGTGCTAGGTTATAGAAAGGGATTTCTGAAGGGATTGGGAAAACCGTGAGAGCCTATTTATGGACATTTATAGGTGGCTCTGAATTGGAAGCTTCACTAATTCAAGAGCGCTTTGGGCAAAGCTGAACTCCCCAGTTCTGCAAACGCAAGCCTTCTGGGGAGAGAGGAGGAGTTTCTCCCTCACCCTCGGAATGGGACGGCGGTGAGTGACTGATTTGCAGCGTGAACGACCCAGATTAAGGAATGAAAGAGGAACAGGAAAGATAGAAGGAAGAGAGGGAGGGAGGGAGAAGAGAAAGGTAGAGAGGGGATTTTTCAAAAATAGGATTTAAGACGACTAAAGGCAGAAGGGATTAGCAAGAGGGGCACTAAGGACCTGGTTTTAAATTGACAATGCTGCAAGCAAACACGATACGCACGATCAGGGTCTGCATGTTCCAGCAAATCAAATACCATACAAACCACGAGTTGCACAGAGATGGCATCGTGTCATGCTAGAGCCATCGGCTACTGTGAGAGCTGTAACTTCTCTCTTCTTGAGTAATCAATCATTCACTAACTGGCCACCTTCTACCCTCTCCACATGGAGATAATTGGGACTCGGCTGACCGGGGCCGGGGACCCTCGGCCTCCAGGTGCGGGCTCTCGGGGGTCCTCGGACCTGCTGCGCTCCTCACCCTCCTTCGCCGCCCGGCTCCCACTGGAGCATCCGCACTAGGTTGGGGTGGGGAGGCGACTGCTTCCCCTGGTCTGCGGGAGGATTCCAGATGCAGGTGTTTTTATATACGCCACGGGATGATGAACATGTAACTGGCTCAACACGGTCCAATTACTCACTTAGACCAAAACAAAACCACGTAATATCCCCCCTTGACGCGCACTTGGAAATCACTGGGAAGCGCGACCCGGCCGACGCCCCCGCGAGACAAGACCCGAATAAGGACTTGGTTTAACCCAGAGTCTATAGATTCTAACTCAAGATCACGCGCGCGTGCGTGTGAAGAAACCTGGAAACCTCATTTTTTCAAACCCTTTTAGAATAAACTTCGAGGCAGAGCTTTAGCTTCTTCTCTGGAGCCTCGATCCTTTCGGTGATCGGTGCAAACCCGAGGGCAAGTGGGCCGAGGCCGGGCCTCCTAGGGGAGGTCCGCTCTATCCTAGTGGAGGCTCGGGCTGGCCGGACTGGGTTCCCTCGGACCCCCGACCAGCTGCGCCCTCACCCGGCCGCGCCCTCCGACCCTCTTTCCCACGCTCCGCTCCGGGCCGGCAAGTCCCAGCACGGCTTGGCCCCGGCCCACGAGGCCTGCTCCTCCCGGCGCTGCCGGCCTCAGAGAGGGAGGCCCCTCCACGGAGTGACCAGACCGCCCGAGACACTGGAAGCCTGAGTTCTCCAGCGGCCTGCAGGCCCGGGCTTCCCTGGTCACCCTTACCCACGCGCCTTCGCAGATCCTAGGGCTGCTTTAAGGCACAGGCTGGCGGGGTAAGAGTTCCCGGACTCGAGGTTCAGATGTCCAAGTGACCTTGGAACTGTTTATTCCTTTGAGCACACAGTGTGGCCAGTGTGGTTTGTCTTCCCATATCCTATGTGTGGAAACTGGAGCCCGAGCCTGGGAGATTCTTCCAGGAGGCCTGGATCCTGGTCACCTGGGGTGGGGGCTGGGGGACCTGGGGATAGAAAGTGAGTAAGAAGGTCCAGCTAGCTAGGGACAGAGGACCTCCCTGAGGAAGGCAGTTCTTGGGTCAGTAGCTGAGCCACTGATGTGGAAACCCTCAGGTGTCTGAGGCTGAGTGCAGGCTGCTGGAGACCTGCCTAAGTGGCCACAGACTCATCATGGTCTCCCTTCCCACTCATGCTCATATTTCTAGAACTCTCTGGCACTCCCTCAGTCTATTTTATTCTAAAACGGACAGTAAGAATTTACAGAAACGTGTACTTTATAGCTAATTGAAAATTTGGAGGCAAAAGCGAGGGCGATGGGGAGCATTCATCAAGGACTTCTTTAAACTTCCTTTTAAAAAGTTATATTACAACCAGGTTTTATCTTAATGAATAAAAATATTAATTTTAAAGTTATTGAACATTTAAAATATGCCACAAATTTTGTGATCCTGTTTTTCAGTTTCTTCATTTATTAATATAGTCAATATTTCCATAAGTAGAAATGTCTCCTGTCTTTTAATCTCTGAGCAACAGGGTACTGAATGGAGGGAAAGTGACCACGGGATATTTGTCTTCTGTCTTTCTAGTACAACTAGTACCACACTTTGGAAAATGCTTCTTGCATCCATCTAAGATTAAACATTTTTAGTGCGGGTGAAACATTAATGTCATCGGTTGGACTTCAAGAATGATCTAAACTGAGAACATTTGCCAACTCAACATCTTTTGTGCTTTTATAATTTACCAGAACATAGTTGGATCTGCTGTGTTGTAATTCTCAGAACCAAAATTCACCATATGTAACACAGTTGCAGACTCAGTGCAATATCTGTATTAAAAACTTTGAAATGACATCCCAAAGTGTGGTGATTTATTTTTTATTTCTGTTTCCTAGGCCTAAAGATACTCAATTGGTTTGAGTGGCTTACAGATACATTCTTAAAGAGCAGGTATTATGATACATTTTGAAGAAAAACGAACATGCCATTCTGGGATTTGTCTAGAAAGGAGTTAATGACCCAGTGAAAGTGATTCCAGGGAGAATTTCTATTTAAATCTCTCCTTCCCCATCCTTCCTTCATACTTCTTTATCCTTGAAGAAAGACCAACATTTATTTGCTTAAGGGTGAAAGAGAAAGGAACTAACCTTTAATGAGTATCTATTATGTACCAGATACTTTGTCTTATTTACTTCTCACAATAATCCTATAGAATTGGAATTATAACACTCCCCCTCTCCCCTTAAACAGAATAAAGGGAGATGCAGCTGGATTAAATGTCAATGGTTTTTCACACCTGGAAAATAGTAGATTTGGGTTTTAAATCCAGCCAATTCTACAACCCAGTCAGGTCTTTAGAATCTGACAGACTAAGTCCAAAAGGACCAAGCAAGCCTTCTTGGTTCCTGATTGCTGTGGGTAAAGAAAGAAGCTGGTCATATACAATGTAAACGGTCTTGTCTTTTTCTTTTTTTCTGGAAGACAGCCTCTTATTTCTTATTCTGCTTAGGATCTTTTGGCTACGGAAAGATTGACTGGAAGCAGGGATATCATAGTCATGTCTTTTTCATACCAAAGTTGGGCCTAGAGTTTAAATTCAATTTTCCAAATATAGAACTCAACCGGCCTCAGTTCTAAGGCTGCCCATACAGCGGGCTGACCCAGGTTATAATTTCATGAGTTCAGGCTCGCATAGGTCAAACTAAGTATCATTCTTAAAACCCCAGCTTCAGAAACGAAAAAGGTAGGAGGGAAATATAGTAATAACAGAACACATGACTGCTAATTAACCTTATTAACAACCACAAACCAGTGAGCATTTATATTTTTATTTTCTCAGAAAAGCAATTAAATTTTTTTTTGCTTTCTATTAACTATCTCCCCCCCACACCATCAGATAATCACCTGTATCAAAACTGCCCTTTAAAAGGTCAGTAGAAATTATTTTAAGACATTTAAATATAAAAAAACCATTGTTATTTTAATAGGCACTATGGATAGTTTAATTTGTATCTTGTATTAAATTAAACATATGGTGAACAGGGTATAATAGATTTTCTATAATTTAGCTGCCAATGTGGCAACAGCAGCCAGTTACTCTCACCAGCAGACTTGTCAGTGGTTTGTTTACTAGCTTATTTGAATTAAAATAAAGCTTCGCTTCTGCTGACTGCACATCATTATCTATGAGACCATAATCCTGCTAGCAAATCCTATATCTTCCAGAACTGGCTCTTTTGTTTGGGATTACTGAGAGCTTAGCCTATAACAAAGAGGAATAAGGCATCCCTCTCATCCTCATAATTAAGTGTGGGGACTAATTTAGAAACAAACCTAAAAAGATGTACTATTTGGAGTTATATTTCTATACAGAATGGAGAAGAAACAGGATAGGCCAAACACCTGATTGTTAACAGAATGTTTAAACTATTAAGCAAGTGTACTACAGGAATCCAGCTTGTTAAAATTAAGAGCAACAGCAAATAAGGCATTGATGGCCTTTGCACGGGGCAGTAATTCTGTATGAAGGATCTGAAGGTATGTTTGGGAAGAGGAAGTATTAGGGTGTCAAGCTGGAGAAGATGGGCTGTATACTTTCTGAATGCCATTTCTGCTTCCAAAATTATTATTCTAATGGGCTACCCAATTAATTGTGATTGTTATGAGAAGAGTTATTAAAATGCTGAATAAAAATAACAAAACACTTTATTTACTAGAAAAAAATACAACTTTTGAAAATGATCACTGGAGATTGTTAACATCTTACGTTCAAGGTGTACAAAATTGAATAAAAAGAATGGGTGATTTTCTGGCCTTTTCCTTGGCTCAAACCAAGGAAATGTATACTGATCACCCAAATTTATTTGTGTTTAAGGAAAGAATTTTACAAATGGGATGTATATAAACAGCTGTCACAATCCACAATTCGTGTATAAACTGATGTCTATTTGTTAAAGAAATAGAAAAATACAAGGGTTGATTTATCAATGTCTTCACCATTAATTGTCACAGATGGGAATTCTGAGGACCTCTGTGAAACCAAACCAGACCCTGGTGAATTATAAAGCAGGTCCTTAGACTTTAAAAACATTTAGGCAAAGTGACAGTTCAGAACATCTGTTAGCCTTCTGTCTGAGTATAAACTAGATGTCATGGAGTGCACAGCTGTAGGCATTTTAGGCTTTTTTGCCAACATCTGTCACAGCAGTACAATAATATAGGTAATTATCAACACCTTATATAAACTGTTTGCTATTTTAATTTTTAGAAAGAGTAAAATTAGTGTTATAATCCTTGGCAAAAAATAATTGAGATGAATATAATCATTTTTTATCTAAAAGATGAATAAATGATGGGATTGTTCTTTGAAAAGTGTACATTTTAAATATTTTCTGCAGCCAATTTGGGTATATTTCATTTTTAAAAGCAGAAATTGTAAGTAGTCTTGTTTTTGAAAAACAAAGACAAGCCACAAGCAAAAGCAAAATATAGGAAAAAGAAGAAAGAACCCAGTAATTTGTGATTGAGAGCAACTAAAGGTGATATGATTTGGGATTAAACAACAACAACAACAAAACCAGCATTTCATAACACTGCACAATTGTGGCATTAATTGATTTTATTTTTATAAAAATTAAAATTTATTTTATAATGTCACTATAGAACAATCTATTGTGGTGAATTCTTAAGATTGTCTCTCTCCTGTCTCTTCTTGGCCCCAAGATTTTGCTGAGAAATGGCAAATAAAACTATAATTCATATCCTGCCACCTTAGCAGCTAAAGTTAATTTGAAAGTGGCTCAGACCTCATGTAAATCCAAGGACCTTTCATTCTTTTAGTGCCATCTGCATATGGATAATCTAAAATGCTCATCCTAAGATACTGGGCATTATTGTCTCATATCTGATTCTCTTGACCTGTACTATAGTTGTTTTTCAGCCTAAAGAACTCAAAGCAGCAAGACTATATTCCAAAGTACCTGTTCTGGGAAAGATGCCAGTCAATAATGTCTTATTGAAAGACCAGGTCCAGCTAGAGAAAATAAAGGAATTGAGCTGCAGCTGGATTTCATCATCTAAACATGCAATGTAATCTTAACCAATTCATTACACACTCCTTTGTTTCCACCACAAAAGGGATGTTACCTTTGTCAGAGGTTGTAATTCCAGTATGTTCAAGCAAAGACAAGGGAGAAATTGAAAATGTGCTATCAATTCTACCCACAGCCAGGAAGAACTGTAAGGTCAGAAGGTTATTATCTCTGTCCCATGTGCAGTTCAGCCTAGACCATAGATAAACAAAGTTTCCATGTCCTATCAGAAAGGTGTAATAAAGAAGAGTCACAGAAAATACTGAATGAGAGTAGGAAATGGTGCTATTGGACACATTTGATTGAACACATGTGCTTTCTTAGGACGATCTCGTGGAGGAGGGAAATTTTACGAATGGGGGGGGTCACTATGGTAAAAGAAATGAGTCATAAATGTTGGCATTTGTAATCTAAAGATCTAGAAATGGTTAAATGAGAAAGAGAAGGAGAAAGTTAATATGGATGTAAGAGGCAGGCAGCTTGGCCCAAAAGGAAGCATTAAGAATGAAGAAGGTAACAAAAGCAAATGAAAAGTGAGATGGACACTGATGGAGAAAAAGGAGGTAGGGAGGAGGAAAACAGGATATTGATTACCAAATGGAATATTAGGGACCAAATGCAAATTTGGGTCCTGTGAGTATTGGCGTTTTCTAAAGAGAGTGATCAGTTAGTTATAGGAAATGACTCTTGGAAAGATAAATACTTTAGGTGGACACAATATTTTATTTTTATGTGGTGCTGAGGATCCAACCCAGTGCCTCATGTATGCTAGGCATGAGCCACAACTCCAGCTCCTAGAAAGATACATATTTTAAAACAACAGGCTCATGGTTTGAGTTTGAAATCTGCTGAAGTGGGTTCATTTGATATTTCTCCATGTCATTTCATCCCTTAGCATTTTTTTAAATTATATCTTGCGACAGGGTTTTGCTAAATTGTCCAGGCTGACCTTTAACTCTTTTTGCCCTAGTTACCCAATTCACTGGTATGACAGGTGTGTGCCACTGTACCTGGCTCAATATCATCTTTCCTTACTGGTGAGGAAAAACATTCATGTATTTTGAGGTTTGGAAAAAGAGAAGGAAGAGAAAACAAACCATTTCCCAAACAACTTGGGAAATATTTTTAGCGGGCATTACTTTTTCCATCAGGTTTTAAATGTTTGAAACAGAATAATGGAATAAAGATATCTGTGACCTCCAATATTAGAGTGAACCCCCAAGATGATCGGATTGAAACCACCTTGCTAAAGTGGGGCTTGCAAGGAGATGCGTGTCTTGTCACGGTTTACATTGTGAATACGAGGACACATTCGTCTACCAATATCCCTCTTGATATTTGTAAAAATCTTTCCTTGAGTTATAAGAACAATACTTTGTTATGGCCCACTTGATATTTGAAAATTATTTGCTAGAAGATAGAGCTAGCTCTGATCAAGTCTCTGAAACGCAGTTTGCTGCTCTCATCTTCCTCCCTCCTTTGTGTTATCGCCTGTCCCTGCTTGTGACCACTGCCCTCATCTCCCTTCATTAAGTGTCTTAATCCAGACTGATCTTTCCTAGGTAGTGTCCTGGGCTTCCCCCATCCTTCTGCTTTTCAAAATCTGAAACAAATGGCTAATAAATAGATTCACTGAAATGTAATGATGACTGATAATGACAACCTGCTCTTGCTTCAAAGTTACTAGCTTTCTGCCATGTGCTCTTTGAAGAAGGGGCACAGATCTTGGTCATTTTTGTGTCTTCTGTGTCACCCTACAAAGTGCCTTCCCCTTAACACTCATTAACTTGTGAGCAAATTGTTTTCTGAGTTGTATGGCTTTCTCCCTAAATCTAGTTATAAAATATCGAGGATTCTTTTATTTTTAATGTTTTGTTCATTTATTTTTAGGTTCCACCAGGTAGAGAGATACAGTGGTCAACTTCAATTGGAATCTTTAAAAGTGATCTTAATTTTTTCCCAACTGATATTTATTACAAGCACATAAAGGAAATTTTTAAAGAAAAATATAATTTGTCATTTAAGATCTACCACCTTAAACCATAAATAACTTATATTCTCTGTATTCCCTTCGGATCTTTGACCCACAAGTACTTGAAAATTTATTTATGGTTTACATATATCTTTGCATTTTCCTGTTTATTTAATTTTAAAGTGTTTTGAAATGGAGTTTGTCAGTAAGAAACAGAGCTATTCTAATTATTATTATTATTATTATTATTATTAATATCATTTGCTTTGTTTTGTTTTGAGACAGGGGTCTTGCCATGCTGCCCAGGCTGACCTTGAACTCAAGATCCTTCCTCCTCAGCTTCCTGAATAGCTGGGATTACTGGCATGTGCCACTGTACCCAGTTTCAAATATGAAAATTCCCAATGATGGAATTTAGGTCCCTACTGAAAACATGAGGGAAGGCATTTTTTTTTTTAATTGGGAGGTCTTTTCAGAGCTCTCTAAAATAAACTAATCTAAGGCCAGTGTTTCTGGAAGTATCTAGTCTTTTATGGTAGAAATCATAGGCTCTTCAATTTTTAGATGGGGGAATTAGAAGCAAAGAATTTTAGGGATTTAAGGTAGTCCTGAAAGAAACAGAAGATTTTAAGTAGGATTTAATAGTAGGTACTAGCTCCTACTTTAACCATTGCTAACTGAAGATGTTTATTTGTCCTTCCCAGAATTTATCTAGGGGGAAAAAAAATAAACAACAACTCCAAACTCTCCTAGTTTTTCTACCCTTATTATAAATATGTAGTTCCAGTCAGAATTTGGTCAAAAGGCTTTGGATGCACAGTCCAATTCACCTGTGTAAAATAAATCAGTTTTCCTACTATCAATCCAGTCAGCCACACTCACTATCTTACTTGCGGGCAACCTTTACAGAAGAAACAGAAGAAACACTGGAATGTTTTGTTAACCAGGGATTGATCATATCAAACATTTTCAAGTGTTATATTTTTGCTACTATAGAGACAAAAAGATTTGGAAGTACTGCCACAGTGTGAAGGATAGACCTGAATGTCCATTACCAGCAAATCGACTGATTAGAAGAAATCCACAAACTAGTTGGTAAGAAATATGCACTCGAGTGAGGCCCATGTCTCTTCTATTCTGTTATGACCTTGCTATTTGCCACAGTACTTATATTTTCAAAACAAGTCGTGGTCTCTTTTCTCTCACATTTATACACAGACACATATGCATGCATGCCTGAATACCCAGTTACCGGATACTGATTTATTATGCTGTGAAGTTTAATACACCATTTCTTATTTATATATCTGGAGCATTTTTCTTTCCTAACATGAAACCAAAATCTTACAAGGCCACCACCGATATGTGATGATTATCAGTCTCAATATAGAAGGGGATTGCATCTTTTTGTAAGGTGAGAGTTCCTAAGATTACAGAAGGAGACCTCTGGAATTCTCTCTGACAGAACTCAGTTTATCCTCAAGGGGCCAAGAAATCAGGCCACAGGCCAGACAGAAAGAACTGTGCTACCCAGAAAATACAGAGCTGATTCCCATCTTGCACCTGCACAATCTGCTGTCAGCTGTTCAATTCTAAGTTCTGTGGCTTTTCTCGATTCCTGCCTGTTGGCTGGCTAATTTATTAACTCCTTAATATCTGCAGCAAAGATGGCACATGCAAATATTTATGGGATGGTGAAAAACACAAGAATGAAAGGGTGATTGAGCAGCCTGGCTGAATTTTGTGTTTACTTCACTAAAATCATTGCTGAGAGTTGTCTCAACAGCTGCATATGGTCCAGAGTGGCATCTCAAAATTCAGCCTTGACTTCCTCACCCAGCTCCCATTCATTCCACCTTCTACAGCCAGCTAGCCATTCAATACACCATCCTCATTTTATGTTGCAGGCAAAAAGCCAACAAAAATATGGTCACATTTAAAAGCCTTTTAAACAGTGAGCACCTCCTTCCTTTCCCGATTGTTCCCTGCTTTTTCACATTCCTAGTTAATAGGTTTTTAAAGCAGTTTCCCCAACTCTTTTCCTGCCACATACTGTCATGTCTGGCATCTATGCAGCAAAAGGCTGTTCTTCAAGAGGCTTTTATAATCCATTGTGCTTCTTATGCCTTTCAACTGCTAACTCTTCAGGTACGGGCTGTGTTTCTTGTTTAGCATATTTTGCATGTTCCAAGCCATTTACGGCAACTACAGCAAAAGTGAGGATAAACTAAATAAATACAATCATTTGAAATGAAGTTTAGGACCATTTATGCATTTTTTTTATTTGCTAAGGCATCTCACAGATACACAACACGAGGAACATTTTCAAGAAGTGTCCAATTTGGAGTTTAAATGTGAATAGGTTTCTTTTCCTTTTTTTGAGAATTGAAGTTCCCTGATGAGTCTTGGGGCTTTTATTTGTTGAAACCCCGATACACTATTTATGAGGCTATTCAGAAATCCTTCTCCCCCATTTGTTCTTACCAATAGAAGGAGAACAAGAAAAAGAGGCAAATGATGGACATTAAAATAATCAAATATCAAAGAGCTGGTAAGGATGTAAAGGTCTGTATTTACATTTTTTCTTTGAGCAGGTATTTATTGTCTGCTGTGTGCCAGGAATTGTGCTCAGGCATTAGATATAAAAGTGAATAAGAAAGAAATAGTCTCGGTCCTAGGAGAAGCAGCCAGTCTAGTGAGGAGAAGGCCCAGTAAATAAGCAACTGATTAAATATGACTTTTTAGAAATAATACTCTGTAGGTGCACTTGAAATGAAAATGGCTTGTTAAGCTCAGAGAAAAGAAATATAAGGTAGTTAAATATGTTATTGGAATCTGAAATAAACAAGTATTTTCGTCCTGACCACAGAAACCAATAATTATTACACTTTTTATTTGGTGGTTCTGGGGTTCAAGCCCAGGGCCCATGCATGCTAGGCAAGCATTCCCCAAGCATGCCGCGCACCCCCACCCCGTGCCTTGGAACTCCCTTTTAAAAAATTGTAATTGTATGTCATCTTTTAGGCTCTGCAATGTCCTATGTTCCATCTTCAGCTCTAAGACCAGTGATCATATCATGTTGCCAAAATGAATTGAAGTTTTCCAAGCAATGAAATAACTATCAAGTATCCAAATATTAAAGTCTTATGATATGTTCTTTTTTTTTTCTTCTTCCTGGTTTTGTCCAGTAGGTAATATTTTAAACTAAGTAACAGAAAGGCAGATTAGCAAGACTCTCAAGGGTGAAACTGTAACAATCATTTTTTTCCCCTTCTTGTGTGATACTGCTGTACCTGGCACAAACTTTACATTTAAATTATTTCCCCACCATTTAAAAAATATTTCTATCTCTCCTTTAAAGAAAAATTTATGTCTCCATCCTTTATATCTCTAGTGCCTGACATAGTTTTTTGGAACACAGTATAGGTTTTTGAATAAAAGAATACAAGAAGGAATAAATATAGTTAATCTTTGCTTCATTGAGTTAGTAAAAAGATCTCCTCAGCTACTTTTGTCACTCCATTGTTGAAACACAGTTGCTTTTTTATTTTATACTAATGCTTCATAATTTAGCATCTAAGATTAGCTTGTCACTCAACAATTAAACTTCTAAAAGCCAAAAGTACCATGTTTGTTTGTTTGTGTGTTTGTTTATACTGAGAATTGAACCTACAGGTACTTTACCACTGAGCTACATTTCCAGCCCTTTTTAATTTATTTTGAGACAGAGTCTTGCTAAATTGCTGAGAGTTTTGCTAAGTTGACAAGGTTGGTCTTGAACTTTCAAACCTCTTGCCTCAGCCTCCCAAATTCCTGGGATTACAGGTATGTGCCACTGTGCCTGGATCCATGTTTATTTTTTATTTGCACTAATTGTCTATAAACATACAGTGAGGACAATTCCATTAAATTAGATTTGCATAGCAGTAGCTCTAAAGAGAAAGTAACCACAAAGAGTGTTTCATTAAACAACCCAACAGAGTAAGAATTTTTATTCTACTCTTTCTTTTGCTTGTGCCAAAGTCACACTTACCCTCAGTTAACACAACAATTATGTGTCATATTGTGATCAATCTCATACTTCATATTGGACTGCATCCCTGTATACAATTTGAGGAATCTATAACTTTTTTTTCCCCCTAGTACTATAAGGCACTGAACACAGGGACATATGCATGCTAGGAAGCATTCTACCCCAGTACTATACCCACAACCCCTATAACCTTTTAAAAGTTTAAAATAAACAGCTGCTATGTGTGAATGTAAAAAGAAAAGAGCTGTTTGGAGTAAAAAGGAAATCGTTTCCAAGGCTTTATTAAAGAAAATTTAGTTTTTCCTGATGATTTCTTTTTTCCTTATTAATCAATTAATTCAATCCAAATTTACTGACTCCTGGTTATGTGAAAAGGGTTGTGGAGGTGTTATGAGAAAAACAAAAAGAAATATAAAGCAGTCCCTGCCCTCTGGGAACTTTAAATCTCGTGAAGTTGACAGCACACAAATAATATAAAGCAGAGTGTAAGAAGGTCTCAAGAAAGGCTCAGTAGGGAGGTAAGATCTGAGCTGCACCTAGAAGAATTCAAGTTGGCAGAAGTGTTTGGAAGATTTGATAAGCAGAGAAGATGGCATGTGTTCAGGCTGTGTGATAAAAGCATGGTGGAAATATTGGGGTAAAGGCTTTTGTAGGTTAAAGTCATATAGTAGAGACATTTGGTTATGAACCATGAAGTTTAGACTAAAATTTAGGGGACACTGGGTGGTTCCTTCCTTCCTTCCTTCCTTCCTTCCTTCCTTCCTTCC